CATGTCTCATTGATGGCTGGTGATTGCGGACACCATGGGTCCCTGCTTTTTCTTTGGAACTCAGAGATTCAGTGCTACAGGCTGAGGCAGAGTGGCTGGAAAGCTGCCCAGTGGAAAAGGACCTGTGGATGCTGGTCAGCAGTAGCTGAACATGAGCCAACAGTGTGCCTGGGGCACTCTGGCTTGGGTAAGAAATAGTGTGGCCAGTAGGACCAGAGAAGTGATTCTCCCCCTATACTTGGCACTGGTGAGGCCACACCTCTGGAGTGGAGTCCTCTGGAGTCCTCTGGATCTCTAGTGGGAGGAAAAAGTCTATTTCTGGGCCCCTCAATTCATGAAGAATATTGAGTACTGGAGAAGGTCCAGAGGAGGGTAACAGAGCTGGTGAAGGGTCTGGAACACAAGTCCTGTGAGGAGCAGCAGAGGGAGCTGGGATTGTTTAGCCTGGAGAAAAGGAGACTCAGGGGTGACCTTACTGCCTGAAAGGATGTTGTAGCCAGGTGGGCGTCAGTCTCTTCTCCCAAGCAATCAGTGACAGGACAAGAGAACATGGCCTCACAAGCTGTGCCCGGGGAGGTTTAGGTTGGACATTAAGAAGAACTTCTTTATAGAAAAGATGATTACATACAGGAATGGGCCGTTTAGGGAGGTGGAATCACTGCCCATGGAGGTGTTTAAGGAAAGACTGGATGTGGCACTTCACCATATGGTGATGTTGGGTCATAGGTTGGACTCAATGATCTCAGAGGTCTTTTCCAACATAATTAATTCTGTGATTCAGTGTTTTACAATACTACTAAGTTCTGCAGTTTGCAACTGACATACAGAGGGAGGCATCTGAGCCATTGATGACATTTGGCCAACTTCACCTTAGTTTCTGGCAGAGCTGCCTCTCTGGCAGTGACATTCCTGGCCAAAATTTCTCTCAATTAAATCACAGGCAAATTTCCCAACACCTTGAATAAGAAGAGGATTGGGTCCCATGACCAGAAGATACATGTGCATCTCTCATCGTATTGTAAGCAGCAAATGCTCGTGACTGCAGTCTAGCAATCCAGACTTAAGGACTAGTGACATCTGACAGCAAGTCCATTATATTAACACTTGAAGACATAGACAGAACTTATTTACAACACCAAAAAACATAAGGCCTTTACTCAGGGAAATCCTGCAAGGCAAAATTTATTCCAATTACATTAAAATATTCCTTCTCTGATTCAAATCACCTACTTAACTAGGAGAAAAATAAACCAAACAAAAAAATTCCAAATATCCCTCCTTGCTGATAAAAAATAAAAACAACATGACATAAGCTATTACTATATTAAAAATATTTTATTTAGACTATTTTTCATTCAATTTTTTTCTGTGCAACTAACTTTCCTGAACATTCTTTAAAAAGAGAACAGCTCAAAAAGAAAATTCCTAAAATATACTTCCTACTTCCTACACATATATTTCACAAGGGACTTGCTTTATTTCATTCTGAATGTAATTCATCATTTATAAAACTGCAGTGCAGGAAATATTTCACAGAATTTTATGGTGGTAAAATGCAAAACAGAAACACTGCTTTAGAAGCAGTAGGTACCATTTCTAGTCTAAGACCTGTATTGGAAGGTAGCTGCTTTTCAAGCCTAGCAATGGAACAATTAATAAAGAAACCCATTAAGGTCTGATTGTTGCTGCTAAAAAGGAAGGTTGAATTTCAGGCCTTTGAAGTAACTGAGAATGATTCAGGACTCATTACAGAGATATAATCTACATTCATACATTTATGTTAGTGATTCAAATCTATTGGGACAGATTGAATTCGGTTAAATAGTGCATCTTTCCTGTGGAACTTTTCTCAGGCTTTCTCAGGCTAACCTAAGAGGTGACCTGACAATACAAAGTAGTGGGATATTTAGGGATTCAACTGTGCTATAAAAGAAAGGCTATACAGAAAGTAGAAAAAAAGAGTGAGATATAATCTAAAAAGCTATGTCAGCTTTTCATTTGGACTTTGTTTTGTAAATGCCCTCCTTGTCATCACACAGGATAGAAAGGGACTCTATGCATTGCAGTAGTTTAACGTACTGCCCTGAATATTGCACCTGCCAGACGCAGATTTTATACGAAATTCTGCACATGTTGAATTTCCTGTTCTTAACCACAAAATCCAACAACCAATATACAGACAGTCATGAGCTAGAAATACAGAACTCTGCTTGAGTAAATTCAAGACATTCCCTGTTTTTTCAGGGTTAAATATACTTGTTTGACCACCACTTTTTTCCTCCCACTAGAGATCCAGAATGCCAATTCATTTTATTTTCCAGCATTTGACAGTAAAAGGAGGGGGGAAGACATCTTCAACTGTATACTTTTAAGATACTATAGTACTTATTTATGATTTAAGCTGTTGGAATCAACTTCAATTTTAGAAATAACGTGTAGTATCCTTTGTGACCCATGCAGCAATCAAACACTGACATCAGTTTGTAGACATACATGCAAGCTGTCAGGCATTTCCAAAAAGGAGGGATTTGCCTTACATTTTGTTTTATTTGTCTATGTTTTTTATTAGTTACCAAAAGGAAGAGCCTTTGCGAAAAGTAAAGCCTAAATAAGATTTGCAAAAAAAGATTTCTGAAATGCTTTCCACTCAGTGCAAATATATACAGAATAAATACACTGAAGTACCATAAACAACATCGTAAAATATACTGATTCTAACATTAAATGGTTTCATTTTTAAGTCTGTTTAAATGTCAGCCCCAGAAGCTGAACACATAAATTTAGGAGCCAACTCTCTCCAGAATAAACACCATAATTGGAGAAAATAATTTCTAATTTCTGTTGGGAAGTTAACATATATTTAACATCCTAATCCAATGAATCTGTCTAATTTTAGAACTGTTTGTTCTTTTCTCCATTTTCTGCTGTTTCAATTAAGATTTATTCCAAATGCCAAATGGAATTACATAGGCGGTTTTCCATTGCATTCCACTGATCTGTGTTATTTAACTGCCTCTATTTCAAAAAAGTTCTGGGTTTACATATTGAGCTACACACTGTGTTTCTGTACCTCTTCATTTCTCCGTTACTCCATTTTCTTAGCAAATGTTTCACTTGTGTTCCAAAACAGTTCTTTAACAATGCCAAATACTGACCAACTTTTAATGTCTTGTATACTGCCCAAATCCTGTCAGTCGATAATGGTTTAATCTGGTGTTAAAAGATAGTACATCATATGGAAGATGCTTGTTAATTTATGGAAAAGTTGACGGTTCAGTGATGAGCTAGAAATATGAACCCGTCATAACATTCAATATGTGAAATGACAAAAACACTAGGAGAGATGGAATCATAGGAAAAACCAACAACATATGTCCCTCCAGGAAAATAATAGCCTGAAAAATTGCTTAAAATAGTCTTCAAAATGGAAAAATTGTTTCTTTCTGGCAAAGCAAACTGCATTAGTTAAAAAAAATAAAAAAGACAGCAAAATATTCAGACGGATTTTATGGGGAAACCTTTGCAATGCCAATAAAACCCCTTTTGCTTTGAAGTCAGATGCATGATTCAGTAAACGACTCATGTTAGCAATTAGAAAATGGTCATTTAGGGCCCTGATTTCTTTTGAGACAAGGAGGGTGAGGGTGGGGAAAGAGACACAATAAATCTTGAGAGGCTTAAAAGGAAGAGGAGGCTAAAGTGTGAACTTTTTATTTCAGCAACGGAAGCGAGAAATCAGTGATTCATTAAAGGAGGGAGAAAGACCTCCATGGAAGCTGGCAAAGAAGGAAAAGGACCTAATTATGTCTTTTCCCTTTTTACTCTCTCTGACCAGCATATAATCTGCTTTTCCAGGGTCTGCCTGTAGTATATACTTCTTTCCAACCTCTCCACCCAACCCCTCCTCCAGCGGGGGGGAGGGGGAGATCTAGCAGGCAACAAGCTCCAGGTGGCTTTCTCAATCACTCCACTGCAAAAGAAATAAAATAAAACAAAACCCTCCACTAGCAAACAAGTTGGGGGGGTTGGGGGTTGTTTTTTGTTGTGTGGTTTTTGTTTGTTGGGTTTGTTTGTTTGTTTTGGGGGGGTGGAGAGGGGATAAGAGTGAAGGAGGAGGGAAGCTTCCCTAGAGGGGATTGGTTCAGCTTGGAAGACAGGGAAATTAGTAAAGCATGAGTCTCCAAGCCATCCTGGTGGCCGGCGCTCCGAGGAGAAGAACGCTTTAGGAGCAATTAGCAGCGAGCCGAAGGCGGCGGCTGCAGTGGCCGCCGCAGCCCGGGAGGAAGCGAGGGCAGCTTCGCAGCAGGCACCGCTCGCTCCAGCTGCAAAAAGGTTTCAGATGTCCCACCGCTGCCTGACCCCCTGCAAATAAGGGCTGACCACCAGAGGCACATCCCACCTCTGACTTCTAATCGCTGACATTTAGACTACAGCTTCCAACCTGTTTACAACCAAAAGGGGAGAGAAAGGAAAGGAAGGGCGGGGGGGACAAGTTGGGATTTCTCCCTCTCTTTCTCTGGATTTTTTTTTTTTTAATACTGTTCTGGAGAATTCAAAGCAAAACAAAGAAACTTCCTCCTCTGGGGTTGTCAGTGAGAAAAGGACGAGTTGTGCAACTGGTTTGGGTTTTGCAAAAAGACAAGAGGGTGGGGATCAGAAGAAGGTGCAAAGCCACAAAGTGTGAGTGTGTGTGTGTGTAAAGGTGTATATGTGAAAAAGCTATTCCGGCACCCCTCTCCGCTGGTTATTATTTATTTTTGTTATTGTTGTTGTTGTTGACTTTGCTGTCATCTATTTTTCAGACCTTTCTGCATCTAAGATAGTGAAGAAAGGAGTGAGGAAGTGAACAAAATAACTCCTGGGAAGTCTCAAACAAGGTTGGGGAGTGTGTGTGTATGTGGGGGGGTGGGGAAGGGAAAAAGAAAAGAGGATTAACCACAGCAACACCACCACCACCCCCCCCCCAAAAAAAAAAAAACCAACACCAAAACAGAAAAAAAAAACCACAACCAACAGCTCTTTTTTTCTGAGGGAGGACTCGAAGGATTAAAAGGCAGCAACTTCTGAGGCGATTTGTCCCCTGAGTTATGGATGTTGGTGCACTTACTTCAGGCCTGATCAGAGCTCAGAGGAATCTAACCAGAAGCAGCAACAACCGTCTCTCCACTTGCCTTTTACCAGGTTTTACCCTTCCAGTATGTTTCATTTGATAAGACATTTTCCAGCGCCCAGAGTTTCAGTACAATGTGCAAATGGATACTGACAAATGGTGCCTCAGCCTTTTCCCACCTGCCTTGTTGCTGCTTGCTGCTGCTCTTCTTGGTGTCTTCTGTGCCTGTCACCTGCCATGACCTCGGCCAGGACATGCTGTCCCCGGAGGCCACCAACTCTTCTTCATCATCATCCTCCTTCCCCTCGTCCTTCTCCTCTCCTTCCAGTGCGGGGAGACACGTGCGGAGCTACAATCACCTCCAAGGAGACGTGCGCAAGAGGAAGCTCTACTCTTACAACAAGTATTTTCTCAAGATCGAGAAGAACGGCAAGGTCAGCGGCACCAAGAAGGAGAACTGCCCCTTCAGTAAGTACAGCTCCGCCGCCGCGCCCCCAGCGCGGCTGCCGCGGCCCCGGGCGCCCGAGCCCCCGGCTGAGGAGAAAAGGGAACGGACGGGAAGGGAGAGGTGAGGCCGGGGAGGGAGGGGGCGCGGGCGGGGGGGTGCTCAGCTCGGCTCTGCGGGACGCCGCTCCCGCCAGCCCGTGTATCTCGGGTCTTTCCAGTTACATTTGTCCTTGCAAATGGCCCTCGCTGAGCACCGTTTAGTTTCTCCGCCCGGCCGGAGAACAAATTAGAAAGATTTGGAAGGAAGCGGTGCAGAGTGTGTGTGGGGGATAAACCGGGGGGGGGGGGGGGGGCATTGTCTCCTGAATCTGAAAATCATTATCTCCTGTCATTAAAACGACTTGGAACAATTAATCGATAGCTCCCACGCACACACACGCGCCCGCCTCTCTCCCCGACCCGCACAACAGCCGCCTGCTCTCCGCTCCCTCCTCCCCGAGCCCTGGGCGGGGTTGTTTGTCCCTGCGGGCCGGGTCTTGCCCGTGTGCCCCCGGCCGCGCTGGGAGCCGGTTGCGCGGCCGCGCTGCCGCCCCCGGGGATGGGGAGCGGTGCTGCGCTGCCGCCCCGCGGCCGGGCTGCTGCGCCGCTATACGCTGCTCGCTCCATTGTAAACATCTGGGATTGCCTTCCCACAGACCTCACACGCGTTTCATTGTCCTTCTCTTTCTCTCTTTCTCTTTTTGTTTTTTAAGAAATAATCTCAGAGCAAAAGTCGTATGGTTGTCTCCGTAGCTGAAGTTTTGAGCTTTTCTGTAGTACTAATTAGGGGTTTAGTAATAGAATGCTTCTTGTAATGTATTTTTGGCGGTTAGTGCTAGAAATGTAAACTTCATTTAGTTTTCCTGCCTGTGCAATCTCAAATTGAAGTAACTGCAGTAAATCACAATATATTGCATTGTAGCTCTTAAGCGCCTATATCCCACTATAGGAACATGCTGAGAAAGTAAGTTCTGTTATGCAACTCTTGGAGGAAACAGACTTTCTTTATTGGTGAAGAACACACTTTGGTTCTTGGGTTGTTTTACATAAATCCAGATAAACCTGGGAATAAATCTTCTGTTAAATTAAAACAACTGAAAGTGATTTAAGGAGATCCCTTGATAACTAATGTATAAAATATGGAGTACTTCAGCAGGTTGCCGTGATGTATGATAGATACTGCCTTTAACTCAGCTGTATTTCTAGTAAATATTCATATTATAGGCTTGCAAACAATGAGAAAAAGGCTGCAGTGCCATATGTCACTGCTTCACTTGCTCCTTGCAACTTCATTCTTTATCATGCACTCTAATGTTGGTAAAAGCTTTATGTGTGAAAGCAGGTGACTCTTATGGCCTCCCTTTGTGTATTTCATAGAAAGGCAAATTCTTGAAAAACACAGCTGTAAGGAAGGCTTGACTTTTATGAATTTGTGTGGAATGAGGTACTAGCACTGTATTTCTCAGATTACCTTTGGGTTTGGAGGAGAACAGCATTTTCATTCCCCTAAAATGGGATTATGAAAGCTTTGTGTGCATCTTTGAGAACATCAAATTCTTTTATGCAGAGTACTGCTGCCAAAAAAAACTATAAGGTGCCCAGTCTGACAGCGGTGTACTCAGAAAAGTAACTACTCATCTGAGCAGTCCCACTTAGCTAGCAGAACTGTTCAATGAGTAAACTTGTACACATGCATGAACTTCTGCAAGATCTTGCAAGAAGAGGTGGAATACACTGAAGTGCATATATACATCTTCCTACCATTTCAGTCTACATGCAAAAACAACCCCCTGCAACTATGGGAGAGGGGATGTGTGGTGTGTCCTGGTTTTGCAGGCAGTATATGAGAAGGAGAATTGGCCTTCTCAGTGATGTCATGGTTGTTGTCACATTTGCAGAGTATCTGCTGAAAAGAGAAGAATCTAATTTGTTTCATATAAAAACAAAACAATGCCTTTATTATACATAATTTTATCTTATTGCTGAGGATTATATGCAGTGATGAAAGGACTCCCATCATCTTAAAACTTGCAGCTTGTGTACTGCACTTATATCACAAAGTCAGATCTAGTGTACAACATCTTTCAATACAAAACAATTACAATCTGGTTGGCAGAAGTCAGAGTTTTATGTTGGTCGTTACTAGTCATTGTAATATGCAGTGTGAAATTGTGTTTTCTGTAAAAGCTCATAGTCTAAGACCATTTAAAAATATATTTACTGTGCCTTTATTCAAGGATGTTTGTGTAGCAAAATGTTGCAAGTGCATCACTAAATCTATGCTTTTCATAACTTCACGTGTAGAGATCCCATCATAATACTGCTGTAGTCCCAAGCTGGACTGGTTCCATGCAAATATATGATTTATTTTTCATATGGTCCAAAATAAGTAGTGACACATGTATAGCTTTCTGCCATGCATAGAATTAGCCAGGTAGGCCACTAAATTGTATCCTGTTTCACATTACAGACTATTTAATCTCTATTATGAGTTTCTGTCCCCAAAACCATGTTTTTCTAAACAAATAAAAGTGACTACTGACACACAAGACTGAAGTATTCTAATTTGGAGGCTAATTTCCTCATATGCTAATGTTTAAAATCAGTTTATGCTGAAGTAAAGCCTTATCAGTAAGTCTGTAAGATCATGGTATGTTGTGTAATTAAACAACAGCTTTCATGGCTCACTGCCAATTAAGCATGGTCAAGTAAGAAGAACAGTTAGAGAAAGTCAGAATAAACATTCAGAAAACAGAATTCAGCCTCCAGCCTTCAAATGGCTCAAGCAGCATTCTTAGATTTGCTCTATAAATATTGCGTAGAGTGCACTGAATTAAAGTTTACTCTGGCCAATGTATTTCAACTTGATTGCTTTGAATTATTCTGTCACCCACCACAAAGGTGGCTCCTGATTGTTTTGTCAGAAGGCTGGGGGAACTTGCACAATTTGGCATAGTTGGAGGAAGTCTATCACTGGATAGAAGTAGGACACAGTTTAGTTTTTGTTTTCTTGTTCCTTATATCTGGAAGCTGGTCCTCAAAATGCAATTATTAGCTTGTCCTACAGCACCATAGCTGTGAAGTCCCTTGCCCCTTGACAGAGCTATTTATATGCACAAATAAAGAGAGCTGTAGTGCTTTCTGGAGACTTACATACTAGTTTGGGGAAAAACAAATCCAAAAATCCTCCAATGAGCTTTCACAAAAGCTTTCACTATAGCTTGAACCCTGGGACCACCAAAAGAAGCTTAAACCATATATGAAGACTGAGAGGGAACTCATATGCAGATTCTGATTTCACTTGCACCCAGACAGCTTTCTTGATTGAAGATAGTAAAATTCTTTGGGATTAATGGATGGCTTGAACTAGCTATGATAAGCTAGTTAAAGAAAACTAGATAGTGTTTCTGAGTGCTATACTATTTTCAATTGACTTTTAATGCAATTGTTAATAGTACTGTGAAGCACACAGACTTCAGAATTCAGAACAGACCTTATTAGCTGAAGAACAGTAACAAAATATGTAGTGCTTAATTAGCAGCAGCTACCTGCAGTCTGTGGAGGGAGTTCTGCCCGAGCAAACTCAACATCAGGCCATTACTTAGGTATGCGTTTAGGGAGTGAAGTCTGTGTCACTGAGCCTGCATATTAGTGGGAAGAATTGCTGGAGCGATTCCTGCGGGCTTTGGACCAAGCAGTGCTATGCAGAACCTACGGTAGATGGCGGCACAGCCACTGCCTGGTGTTACCTCTGCTCAAAGGAGGTGGACATGAGGGTTTGAACCCTCAACTGCATAAGCTAATTTAGCTCAAGCAAAGCCAAAAGGGCTTACACCAGCAGATATTCTAATAATTGGCCTTCTGAGCATCCCAAGTGGACTAATCCAAGCAGTGCAAAAACACAGCAATTGCAGACTAAGAGTGTTTACCAGGGGAGCTAGCAAGAAATAATTAGCTATTTCCCACGAGCTTACCTATTCTAGGCTTTTCTTCTGAGTATGCAATTATCTTTTCTATTAAGCTTTATGAACTGCTGAAGTCCCTGATAGTCTTGGGTTTTGCTTTAGTTAGCGTGGGATCAGCTTAACAACGAAGTGAGTAAAAGCAGAAAAGTTCTGGGCCTCATTCTGTAGCCCAAAAGGTTGTAAACAACCACTTTAATTGCTATAAGTGCTAAACACTACTAATGAGGATTTTGTGTGCATACATACATGATTGATAAATAGATATTTGTAGTACATATTGGGTTATATACAGAAAATTAGCATTAAATGTGTTTTGATTCAGTATACTCAGTTTGATACTCAGTTTTTTGATCATACTTCAGGTGCAACAAAATAATAGAGTGATATACCTTGGCCTCAGCTATGAAGCTCCAAGCAGATTAGAATAATTGGTAAAATATGTTATTTTACTACTGAACATTTTGTAAGCTAACTGTTTGCAATTATTGACTCCTCATCATATGGTATTTGTAAATTAATGTGAGAACTTTTCACTGTTTTTCTAAAGACTGGTGAGCAGGCATATGTGTTTTGTTGTTTTACTCTCCACAGAGTTCTGTTTTATTGTTTTACCAAAGAAAATACTTAAAATATGAAGTAATACTGTTTTAGTGAAGTAATTTGAAATTTAGGCTCTTCACTGTGAAATATATAAGTTCTTACGGAGATGATTTCTTACTTTTTTCTTTTTTTTTCCTTCTTTTTTTTCCCCCCACAGAACTCATATAATTTATAACAGCAGTATAAAACCATAGGCACTTAGGATTTATGAATGTGGAAAGAATTGTACTATTTAATGTCTACATGACACCCTCCTGTTACCCTTGCTGCATTCCTGCCTTGTGGACCCTCCATGCTGATACTGTAGTCCTAACATAAATCTGTTCAAAATACATTGTTATAAGAAGTCTTTTTGTCTTCATAAATCTAACTTATGGCCACTTAGGGAAAAAAAAAAGAAAAATATAAAGAGAGGGA